ATATATATATATATTCATTCCACTGAGACTCCTGTCATGTATGTACCACGAGGAGCCTTCCTCTTTGGAGACCAATACTTAGATTCAGTCACGTTTAATAACTTTTATAGCTTTTAGCTTTCTATTTGATCGTTCTTTTTTGGGTGTGTGTTTATGATATTCTTTCAACTAAGTCCCTTAAGAACTTCACTGTTTTTCCTGAGGTGAAGTTTACTGGATTAGGACTGTTGTTAAAAAAAAAAAAATTAAGCTCACGGATGACAAATGTGTCTCTACTGTGATAAGCAGAGAGGCACCAAAAAATGCACTGTCTTCAAATAATGAGGTGTCTTTCAGTGCTTTCAGACACTTAATGACAGGAGACAGAAATATTGTAATATTGGATCTCAGAGAAGTCATTTTTTTAGAAATACATTATTTCAGAGTCATTCATATCTTATATAGGCCTTACAATGCAAATATTCCTGTACATGCAACAAGTCTTTAATTCATCTAAGAACTTGTTTTATTAAAAAAAAAAAAAAAGAGTCAAAGTTAAAGGAACCCCAAAATGCTTTATGATAATCCTAAGAATGGATGTATGTAGTTTTTTTCTGATATAAAAGAAAGTTACATTTCTGTCACTTGGTACAATGGTAAACTGTATAGTTCTTCCACTGGTGGAAATCAGTGTAGTTCTTTGTAAAGACAAAGAAGTTGTCTTCCCCCAGACCACACAGAGAAAAAAAAGAGACAGATACTAGCTTGTAGCAAGTGAGTATGTTGACATTTGCCAAAGAAGGGAAAGGTATATTCAGCCACAAATCCTGCTTTTTTTTTGGGGGGGGGGGGTGCTCTAGATTGTTTCTTTTTGTTTGTTTTTTGTTTTTTAGGTATTTAAATATTCAGGTAACATTATCAGCACAATTCATCCTGTGTGGGATACAGAGTTGGAATTAAGTGCAACAAAAAGGCACCACTAAATGCCTGTATATATTCAGTATTTGCACCTTATGACCCAAGGCAAAATGGTCATGGTCTTGGAAGCATATATAAATTTTACCCACTCTGTGGAAATTATGCATTTTAATGATATATGTATACAGTGTCATGGAAAAGTATTTGCCACCTTGCTAATTTCTTTGTTTCTTTGCCTGTTTGTGAAACACAGAGGTTTGAGAGCATTAAACAAAACGAATATTAGACAAAGATCCAAGTCCTTGGTGGCAAGAACTCATACACTGCACTCAGTCATCTCTGATAACTGGTGATTTTTTTCATAGTGCTGTGGAGGAATGTTGTTACATTCTTCTTTGCGGAATTGAAATCTGCCACATTGGAGTGTTTTAAGAATGAAAAACCTTTGACTAGGCCACACCAAACCCCTCACAGGTGGACTTTCTAGTGTGGTCTCTGGTAAGTCCAAATTCTCCTTCAGGATTTTCTAGTAGAGAGCAGAATTAATAGTTTAAACAATCATGCAAAGTCATCTGGGTCCCAGACCTCACACTACCATCATACTGTTTAACTGTTGGTATGATGTACTTTTTATGAAATGCTATTTTGGTTTTATGTTAAATTGTACGAAATGTATCATTTCCAAAGGAGTTCAACTTTTCCCTCGTCAGTCCATAGAGTATTTTTACCAAAATTCTTGGATCATCAAATTGGAGTTTTTTTGTTTATTTGTTTTTTGACAGCAGTGGCTTTGACCTTGGGTCTCTTCCATAGATATCCCTTATTGTTGAATCATGAACACTGCTTCATAACTGAGGCAAGTGAGCCTTGCTGTTCTTTACAAGTTGTTCAGTGTACTCTTGCAGTAATTTTGGTAGGCTGGCCACTCCAGAAAAAGAATCCCACTGTTCGCTGGAGTCTCAAAGCCATAGAAATCCTTTCCAGTCTGATAGATGTCATCTTTTTCTTTAAGTTATGGGATGATGTCCTTTCGTTTAGCCTACTTTTCTTTGTCAGACAGATTCTGTTTAAGTAATGTCTTAATTCAGCAGGTCTGGCAGGAGTGTGGATAGTGAAAGTGAACTCGGGTTTCTAAAAATGTGGTTCATCACAATTTATTATGTAACATGTTGGGGCAAATACTTTTTCAAGGCACTATGTGTGTGTGTCAGTAACAAAACCACACATCTACAATACAGCCATAATTTTGTCATTTTCCCTCACTTTTTCTACCTAGAAAATGCTTCTATAATGTTGAATTCCTATATTAATGACCTAAATGATTATAATACCCTTTTGTGTTAGCACTGTCTTCTTGAATGTAATCATTTTGTACCTGTATTTTTCTAATTCAGTCTTGATTGTACTGTATTGTATGCTATGATGGTATACTGTTTCTAAGGTACATAGTTGTTACAACCAACAGTTCTCATGACAGAAAAGCTGCTGCACCTTATAGTCACTGGAAATGTGGGGCAGTTTTAAGTCCAAAGGACTGTCATGTCACCATCCATAAGACTGATAAAAGAAAGATTTGTGCATATTGAGTGGTTGGAAAATCTCTTTCCCCGGTTTGTTACTTTTTTCCTTTGCAGTAAAAGTAAAAGTCTGTTCAGAAGAGTTCAACTGGGACACTTCTGCAATCACAACAATGAAATGCTTGAGTCCCGGTTTATTTATTACTGCTCCTTTTTATAGTTTTAGTCAAATAAAAAAACAAACAAACAGTGAAATATAGAAATGAATATGCATCTGTTTATACATGCATATGTATAAGGTTATTTACCCTTTACTGGATGTAGATCATGACTTTTTTGTGATGAAGAGATTGTCGGATCTTCTAAGTATCTTTCCTCCAATAGGGTTGTATATCATGTGCTTACTCTAATTTATGTTACTGTAATCATTATGAAACGTCTGTTTTTGATTGTTAAAGCCCAGTTGTTACATGCAGCCTTGCCTTACTGGAACCCCTGCTTAGTGTGGGATCCCTTAGCCACCCGACCTTCCATACCCCACATCGTCCTAAACTATGTCATGACACTGTTTGCTGATGCAACTGTTATTCCTTTGACACTTTCTTCTGACGCAACTTTTGCTTCTTGAACACCTATTAAAATAACATCTACTACATCTGTGTGGAATAAGTGTTTTTATATACATTCTTCCATTGCCTTATTATATTTATAATGAACAGCTAGTGCCCCGTTTTCTGTGTGTGTGTGTGTGTGTGTGTGTGTGTGTGTGTGTGTGTGTGTGTGTGTGTGTGTGTGTGTGTGTGTGTGTACACACAAACACAAATAAATATACCAAAAAAATAGTTGATAACTGTACATGGACCACAGCACAACCACCATACTAACGTTGTTTAAAACAGATCTGACCTGTAAAGGTGTCCTGTGGAATCTGCCAATACGGCGAGAGCAGCAGGTTCTTTAAGTCATGCAAGTTGAGAGGAGGGGACTCCATTGATCAGACTTGGGATTTGGGAGGATTATCCATTTGAAAGAGGCCACTGCCACGAAGGGGTGTACATGGTCTGCAGTACTGTTCAGGTATGTGCTATGTCTAGAAATGACATCCACGTGAAGTCCAGGACCCAGGGTTTCTCAGAAGAATTTTGCCCAGAGTGTCACACTATCCTTGCCAACTTGCTTTCCTTCCCTCTTGCTGCCATGGATAGCTGTGGATCAGTCCCCATCTTCTCTGGTCTGCATGCCAAATATCCTTGGGCAAGATACTAATCCCATGCATGTCAATGTTAGATAAAAAGCACTTGCATAGCAGAGCATAGAAAAAAGTGCTTGTGCGAATGGGTGAACAAACCAAGTTGTCTAAAGTGCTCAGAGTAGAAAGGCGCTATATGAGAACCAGTCCATTTACCATCTCGTCCACAGATAAATGCTGCACATGCATCTGTCTGTCCTCATCACGTAAAAGAAACCGTGATTCACCAGATCAGACTACCTTCTTCCAGCGCTCCAAGGTCAAGTTTTGATGCTCACATGCAAAGGGACTGTGACTGACCTGTGACTTTGCAATCCCATACAAAGCAAGCTGTGGTGCACTGTGTTTGGACTCTTATATGAAAATCTTTTCTGCTATTTCTGTTATATTAGCTCTTTTTTTTTCTTTTTTTTTTATATTGTACCACATGGGCCAGCCTTTGTTCCCTGCGCCAATCAATGAGCATTGGGCGCCTATGTCCCTGTCACCGGTTTACTGGTAGCCCTTCCTTGGACCGCTTTTGGTTGGTACTCACCACTGCAAGATATTTTTTAAAACACAAGTGTAATTTGGTCTTGCATTCTTTTAGTTTCTTCTCCACATTCAATGGCTGATTTTGTTTTAGGTCCTTTGATATCAAATATTCTATTTGTAATTAAACAAGAATATGTCAAATATCTCTTTGTTGTGTATCATGGACAAAAAGAATTCACTTTTTTAGTAGGATTGGAATTCAATTTCCAATATTTTTGGAAGATTACATTGGCCTCCAGCAACACTGTGAGGAATGCTGGAGTTGTTTTTGATCAGGATATTTCCTTCAATGCACATATTACACAAATATGCAGGACTGCTTTCTTCCATTTCCACAATATCTCCAAAATTAGAAACATTCTGTCTCAAAGTAATGCTAAAAACTAGTTCATGGAACTGTTACTTCTGGGACTTCTGTAATTCATTATTATCAGTCAGATTATCAGATTATTATTTATCCTAAAACTCC